CTGAGCTTTCCAAAGTGGATTCTGACAGGCAGGGAAAGGGAAGGAAGGGCAAGCAATTCAAAGCTGGAAATGAACACACAGAAAGAACCCAACAGAAGGGAGAAACACGTGGGGTGCTGGGGAATCTTGCTGAAGTTTCCTAGGAGTCCATTAAGACCTCTGCCTATTCCCTAATTTCAGAAATACAGTGGTACGCTCGGTTCACAAACTTAATCTGTTCCAGGATTTTTGAAAGATGGCCACATTCATGTTTGTGTGGGAAAGATGGCCGTGGTTGTGTTTGTCATCCAATGCAGAGTTTGCAAAAAACCACAATTTTGCCAAATGATTGTTTATGAACCAAATTGTTTGAAAAAAAAGAAAAAGAAAAAAAAAGAAATGTTTGAGAACCGAGGTGCCACTGTACTTTTAAGAACAGTGAGTCAAAAATGCTAGTGGGCCTGGTAGTGCAGGCCTCTAATCCTAACACTCTGGGAGGCTGAGGCAGGAGGGCTGCAAGTTCAAGCCCACTCTGGGCAGCAACTTAGTGAGACCCTATCTCAAAATAAAACATAAAAGGGGTTGGGAAAGCAGCTCAGTGAGAAGACACTGAGTTCAATCCTCCATACTAAGGAGTGAAAAGCTAACAGAAATCTAAAATTCACCAAATTAAAGCTTGAGGCTTATAAATGCTTTTTCTCGGTTCTTTATTTCCATTCTGCATAACTACAAAACTCTGTTAGTGGAACTTTAATTACTTGGCTTCATTATAAAGTTTCCATTGCATATAAGAGTATAAATAGTTTCGCTCTAATGCTCTCATTTGAATCTGTGGCTGAAAGCACTGGTAGAAATCATATTTTCAGCCACTTCCTTGGCAACTTGAAGGAAAACAAAATGTATACTACTAATCAAGTCATTAGTGGACCTTAGATGTGAGGGAGGGACTACACAGATAGGAAACAGACACAGAATACTTTAATAAAGATTAAAAATATTTTATTTAAACTTTTCTTCATAAACACTTTTAACATTTTTTCAATTTAAAAACAGAATGGATAGCATAAACATGTTTGATTATATCCACGGCTTGGGAAAAATTACCTGACAAAAATGTAAAGGCTTTCAAAACAGATATAAAAGGCAAACCTTAAATTTTTCTAAGATTTTTATATTGGCCCTAGGATTATTTGACTACTGGCCCAAAATGTACCTAAAGGTCAAAATATTTTTCTATAGACAAAGTATGCCCAAGAGGTATAGGGCATATACAAGTTAGGTAGAAAATAACCTCTCTGATCACCTCTCGGGAACATTCCTCCAGAAAGCAAACATCCAATCTTTACTGATATACTGATTAATAAAACTTCAATGTACTTGTTCCCAAAGATGTAAAAAGAACATCCAAGAACTTCAAGGGGGAACAAAGCTGATGGCATTCTCTCAACATTACTCATGTAATATTGAAGGTTTACTTCTATACTGACAGGATATGATTTCCATGAACTTATCTATTCCAGTCTATGCCTATTGAATATTTGACTTTATAAACTCTCAATAAACTAATTTTTCGGGACTTTTAATTTTAAGATAAATCTCTTTTTAGAAGATATTTATTCCCAAACCGACTCTAAATGCAACTGAACAAATGTATGATCTCTAAAAATGTTCAGAATAAAAAAAATCAAAAATGTGTAGTAGGCAAACAAGAAAACTGGCACTAGCAGTTTTACTGCCATATAGCCCTCAATTATATCTAATTTACACTATATCTATGCTGTTTTACTTCAGTCTAAAACTTTAAATTACGTATTCTCAAAAGAGCTAGTCTCTTCTGAGAGATAGCTTATAAACTGAAAGAACAATTTATATTATAAACTGAAATGTTATGACCTACACCCACATATACATATATAAAAATAGTCCCACTGAACGTCTGACATGTTTAGATTATGCAGCTCAAATAATTTGTTATAAAATATTTTAAAGCTTAGTTTCATGTAATTAAGACAAAACTCTCCATGTTTACCACTTCTCCCCACACAAATATGTGTCCTTTACTATGACGCAAGCAGGCTTCCCAGAATGAGGTGTCCGAAGGTGCTGCTCTAGAAAAGGTAAGCGAAGGGCTCAGTCAGTATTTCACAACTAGAGTAACGCGCACGCAGGGCACAGCGACGAGGGAGGAGGACACAGAAAAAGCTGTCTCAAGAAAAGCTAATCATTCTATTAATTAAGCTTTGCTTTTAAAACCAGTAGCATTTTTTCTAATACAAAAACCTTCAATGTGAGAATCTTGCATTCTGAAAAGGCTGTAGTGCAAGGATTTTCTTTAAAACCAAACTTAGGTCAAAGACATGGAAGAGAACAAACAGTACTAATTACTAATTAAGATGACATTAACACAGATCTGCTATTTTTTGTGAAATCTGGCATTTAAAATGTAAAATGAAAGTAACACACACAAAGATTGTAACAGTTTTAACTGTATAGTTTTCAAATCTTACTGAGTTTTTTAAAAAACAACTATTTTATGTATACAAGGTATATAAACAAAAATGGTTCCAAATGAAGCACACAAAAAATAAACTTGAAAAAAATTCTATGAAAAAAATTCCATAGTTTAGTATAACAAAAATAAATCTCTTGCAGCAAATACACCATAATTTTAAAAGGGAATGTAAGTTAATCATGGATTTAAAATAACCTAAATTGGAGCTACATATAAACAGCAAGGTTTTCTCATACATTCAGAACTCAAGCAACAGCAACTATTCTTAAAGCTCACAACTGATTACAGCTAACATCAGGGTAGACATGACTTACGTGAAGCTGAACCCAGAGTTAGTTCAAGTTACAATTTCATGAATTTTACGAAACACAAACGTTGACCTTGGCCTTGCATCCTTAAAATGGAAGACCAAGATATTCAACTGTTTGCTCAGATGCTACCCCCCGTAGGGGTGATGAAGTCATATCTAAGCAATTAAAGAGAACCACCGCTGGAGTGTAAAGCCTTTCATATGGTACCCTGTCTGATGGCTCTTTCTTGGTCTTTTCCAGCAAAAGACATCAACAAGGAAAATAATGAAGACCTTATTTTCTTTATGTAAAGCAGGAGCACACACATACAAAATCTTAAACAAACTAATGTATTTAAAAAGTTAAATGGTTAACCCAATTCCTAGTTTTCAAAAGTAAAATAATTGCTGGGTATAATGGAACATGCTTGTAATCCCAGAACTTAGGAGGCTGAGACAGGATTGTGAGTTCTCCAGCCCGAGCTACACAGCAACACCCTGTCTCAACAAAACAAAACAGCAAAATATCAAAAAATTTAAAAAGTAAAATAATTAAAAATTATTTTTAAAAATGTAGGAAGAGACTTTTACCCATATTCCATGGAAAACTAAGATATCAAATCTCATTTTCACAAACTATAAGTGAATGAATAAACACTTAAAGAAAATTAAAATTTCATAAAAGCTGGGCATGGTGGCACAGGTCTGTAATCCCAGCAACTGGGGAAGCTGAGGCAGGATGGCTGTGAGTTTGAGGCCAGCCTGGGCTAGGGAGTGAGTTCATAGTGAGTTCAAGCCCAGCCTGTACTACATTAGTGAGACCTTGTCTTAAAAGACTAAAAAAAATATTTAAATTTCATATACAAAGGAACATTATTATTAACTTGATTTCTGAAATTAATGCCAATGTTGTTCTTTTTTTAAAGCTACTTGTGCACCTCATTTTTAAGCTAAAATACTTCCAAATTTTGGCGTTTTAAAATTGAGTTTTATTTTGAAGTATGTCTAATTAAACAGCAAAAAAGCTCCTCCCCCCCAAAAAACAGAAAGTCTTCATATTTCCATGAATTCACGCTCCCACTTTATGTTCAATGGTGGCAGCAGCAAAAAATAAAACAAAAAACAAAACTAGAAAATTTATACAACAGCAGCCATTTAGAAGGCATTGCAATATTGCACCAATACCCTAAGATCTGGCACGTTTTGCCAATGTAGATCTACTCTGTATCAAATATAGACTACTTCTGAGAAAATGCATCTGCTTGAATGATCCACTCTTGCTTAATTCTATCATCTGTATTCTTCTCTCATGACTAGAGTCCAAAGGTGCACTTAATTATAAAACACCTATTCTACTGCTTTCAAACAGCTACTCTTATGATCCATTCTGATTGCTATCCTTCATGCTAGTAGCTTCTGGTAAATAAAACAAAACCTGATGGCTGATATCCCTAGTGCCACTGAATATTTTGTATGAGATAAATAAACAAATATAACCAGTAACATTATAATTCTCTTTCTTACCTTTTAAGTCAAAACTGAGCTCAAATTTTCTAAAAGTTGCCACCCTTCATTCAATAACAGATGCAGCAGCCTTGCTGAATGTAAAGAGTGGGAGTTGCACTTACTTTTAAGGGTAATTTAGGAGTCTGGCATTACCTAAATTCTCTTTAAAAGTGCTTGCACGCTGCAGGGTCAGATTCAGAGCTTGTCATATACCACTCCGATTCTCACTAAAAACAGGACAACATTAAACAGACTGCAAAGAAAAGCATTTTCAAAAAGAAAAGACATCAATAAAGAACACTAACATTTACTTTTGAAGATAAAGCATAAAATGTTAGTTTTTTCATAAATCCATACACATTTCAGGAATATAAGGAGTTCAAATATTACTGAATCTGTATGGACTGAAGACTGGCTACTGTGATACCAAACGTGGACTCCAGTTATTTTAACTTTCTAAAAATGTTAATACATGAAAACACGTCACATCCAAAATTCAACAAGTATGGCGAACCGTGTGTGCAAGTACACTAGCTTAAAAATATAGAATCCTAACCACGCATAAAAGGGATGTGCCTTAGATATTTATAGGGTGTATGCGAGTATGGGTATGCTTTCACTAACACATTGCGGATAAGAGAAGGCAGCTTAGAAATAGTGTTCTGAATATAAAAAGTTAATTTTGTAGAAAATTTATATTTTTGCATTTTCAGCAAAAAGCCATGCAAAAAGGTCAAGAACTTTAAACTTTTAAATAATAAAACCAAAACATATAACAGACTGAAACACGGAAATTAATGTTCAAAAAGCTTTCAGATAGAGATAGGAACTGAAATCACATCCAGTGACACTTATTGGGTCTTCTCTTAGAAGATGCAGGACTCCTATGCTAACATCTGAAAGAAATGTTTAAAGCAGAAAATCAACTTCCCAGATAAGTGGAGCATTCTATTAAACTACTTCTGGAAGTAGTTTCAAGAGCTAGCACTTAGAATTAACTTATTGCATGAGTTTGAGGCCACTGAAAACAAAAAAAGGGATGCTAGCACAGAGTGAAAAATTCTTATGCTATTAGACCAATGGCTTTGATAGTAAAACTGGTGAGGTTTTTCTTTATGTTTTTTTACTTAACTACTTTATCACAAACAAATGTTTTGTTTCCTCTTTTTTTCTGAGGGAAAAAGATGTCATTTAGTTGCAACGCCTGACCTCATCTAGTACATAGTCCGGAAAATGCAGGTTGCATACTTGTAAACCATCCAGCTTGCAGGGCATCCGAGGGTACTCATCTTCCTTCCATTTGTTTTCATCTGGATCGAAAGTGAGAATGGAATCGCTGTAATGACCGTTATAACAAAGGCCTCCAAGAACCATTATTTGTTTGTCCAGCACAGTCACACCATGGCCACTTCTACCAATCGGCATGGATGCCAAGATGGTCCACTGATCAGTCTCTGGGTTGTACACTTCTGTGGAAGGGCAGCCCTGAGATTCAAAAGAGGCCCTCAAGATCACACAGACGCCACCAAAGACGTAAAGCTTGCCATTGTAAGAAATCATCTTGTGAAAGCATCTTGCGTAATTCATCTTGCTCTTATTTTCCCAGCAGTTGGTAACTACTTGAGTTCTCCTGGTCCGTTGTTCTATGGTCCCTTCTTTACTGGGGTCAAATACACACACTTGTTTAGAGGTGGAAGATGAGGTGATTCCACCAGTGATAAACAACTTGTTATTGAGCACTGTTCCCTCATGTCCATATTTGTTAACTGGATAAGGGTCCACAAATTCCCACTTATCATTGGTGATGTCGTATCTCTCTGTTGAATAGAAAGTCTCATCTCTGGTTCTGCCTGCTACGGCGTAAATGAACTTCCCAATAACACCAACTGCAAATTCTGAACGTGGTACAGACATGTCTGCCATTCGCAGCCAAGAATTCTGTCTTGGGTCATACCTGAACACTTTGGAAGAGGCATGGAATTCGCCATCCGGGCCCAGTTCTTCCCCACCCAACAGGAACACAAAGTTATTGATGATAGCAAGGCAGTCTGGCCGAAGAGGTACTTGTGGGCCCTCCAGTTCCCACCAGACTCTTGGTTTCTTTAAGAGAAGTATTTTACTGTTAACCATGCTATGTCCAATCATTCCTCGGAATACTGTAGTTTGGGGTTTGGCAGAACGAATGCGGCTTGATTTCATGTCCAACAAAGGCTGCTGATGTACATTCTGAAAGTAATTCAATGCTTGGTCAACTTCATAGCGCAGCTGTCGGGAGTATCTATAAAATTCTGATGTTTTAACCTAAAAATACAAGTAAAAGAATTTAACCAAAAGAAAAAGCATCAATGGTAGACAAAAATCTCAAAACCTACTAAAACCATTATGATATTATTTTAGGCTTCTTTATTAAAAATGCTTTTCCTGGAAAATTACCGACTTTTTGCTTCCTATGAAGTTTTAAAGTTACATTTGCTTTTATAACTTGTACTTGTAGCCATCTATATACATTTCCAAGCTTTTAAAAATAAACAAGCATTTGTTTTTGCTGGGTGTGGTGCCACATACCTGTAATCCCAGAACTCTGGGAGGCTCAAACAGAAGGACTGGAAGTAGTTTAAGCCTTGCCTGAGCAACTTAGTGAGACCTCGTATCAACATAAAAAATTTAAAAGGGGGGCTGAGGATACAGCTCAGTATGAAGGTTTTGGGTTCAATCCCCAGTACCACGCAATAAAAAAATACCTACATACAAATATACAATCTATTTTCCATGTACAAGTTATGCTCCAGGCAGAAAAAAATTCCTAACAAAATGTACTATGTCATGTCAGGCCCTATGCTACAAGTGGGATACAGGAAGTCAAATATGGGCTTCACAGGAAAGGAAGCCATGTCTGCAGTTTTCTTAACTGCAGACAACACTATAAACCCACCACAATTGAATAATTTGGAAAGTTATGTGAGTTAGTGAAAATTCAGAGCAGAAATACATGCAAAATTCACGGGTTTTGACATAAAGATTGAGTCTGCTATTAAGAACTCCTACATTAACAACTCAGTACACAAGAATAGGCTAAACTCCTTTTGGCTTTTGAGCTAGAACTACGTAATGACAATGACTATTAAGACCTTATGGGACGGCGGGGCCGAGTGGGGCCGAGCGGTTGCAGGCTCACCGGGACCTGCTTGCTCCGGCTTGCTCCACCAGCTTTCCACCGGCCACCAGGACAGGGTGAGGAGGACCCCCCCCCCACCCCAGGCAGGCCCACCAGCTGATGGATGGGCCGAGCGGGTGCCTCCAACAATACTCTTGCTCCCCCCCAACCCCGGCCTCTTGGCTGTGCGGCTACTTGGTTACACACTGCAGAGGCACAGGGGGACAAAAGTCATTGTCCTGAACTCCAGAAGTGAACAACAGAGAAAGTGCCTGTCTCAGGCTCCCTGATGAAAACAAGCCCACTGGAAAAGTGAAGGGAATCTCTGCAATAAAGGCACACCAGACCACCGTGATTGGTAAGGTGGATGGATCATCAGCTCCCATCGGAAACTGGACTTTCTTCAGGGGAAAAGCAGCTGAAACCTGCAGTAGAACCTTGCAGAGTGAAACCCTGCAGGAGGACAGGGAGCTCAACTTGGGACTTGCAGCCAGAAATCTACCTGAATCTCACGGGTCTGGGACTAGCTTACTGTGACTCATTGACCTATAATTGCACACTGCTGCCCACGTTGTCTATTGTGACAGCAGAGACACAACTTGAAGTAGGCCCTTTATTTTTTAAAGGTGATACATTAATAACTACCACAAATTGTCATTCTTTAAGAGGTATTTGATGCTATGGTGTTGCTCATTGTCTGACTTGGAGATTAATAACTATGACAAATTGTCATTCTTTAAGAGGTATTTGATGCTATGGTGTTGCTGACTGTCTGACTTGGGCTAAGATGTCGTGATTGATCTAAACAGTTTTCCTTTCTGGTACAATGAAAATGAGACAGCCTCTGAGTCATTAGAGACTCAACACCTAAAGACCAGCTAAATCTGGTAGACACCTCTGAGAAGCAATCATTCCATAAGGGTTTTAAATAGACCAACAAAGATGCTTACAATAAACAACTTCATAATATCAACCCAGTAACTAAACCAGGGATAGTACCAAAAACAAAAATGAGAAGGCATTTAAGCAAGTCACAAACCCAGACTTCCACCCCACAAAAGGCAATTTCTGGGGGAAATGAGGTGCAAAAGTCTGATAATCAACCACCTGGACACCCTGAACTGATAGCACAGGAAGTA